TACCTACCCTATTCATTTTAGTCCATTGGGAAGTTCTGTGCGTCGATCAAATGGGAATCTACATCATCCCTCAAATGAACAGGTGTTTATATTATGAAAGTGAATGACTAATGACTGGGTAACAAATGCTTTTACAAATAGATGTCTCTTATTCTTCACTATTAACAAAAAAAAATGGAGAAACAAATGGAGCTGACAGCTCAGTAAGAATAACTCAGTAAAAAATCATTATGTAACTGTTGCATGTAACCTTGAAATTCAAAGAACTCAATGGCACAGCTCCAATCAGACCCTTCCTAGTCCTATATTTTTATGTGTGTGAACAAGGTTGCTTTTTTTCTAGGCAAAATAAAAGCAATGGCCAGGGAGTCTTTTTAGATATGTTTGACTTCACTAGTAAAAAGAAAAGAAAACTTTAACAACTTCCAATCATACCAGAACTTATATTTATAAAAATGTAGCTTTCTTAAACCGAATAAGTGAATGTACTTAAAAACAGCCAAATATCCTTCAAGATGAACCGTCAAACACAGTTACCTCTTTGTGTTTCTAGGAAAAAGGATCTTGACTGAATGATTAAAATAACATGAATTCTCATTGGCAGAAGTTTTCATCCATCCCATTAGGTTTTTTAAAAAAAATGAATCAATCCAATAATGTAAATGTCTTGATTCTACAGATTTGGAAGGAATTCTTGACGTGGAGAGGCTAGGGCCAAAAGCATGTCATTCATTCACTTGGATGTCCTATTAAACAATGAACAATAAAAAGAGGAAATAAAAGACCTGGTTTACTCTGTCTTCTAGTTGGCTGTTCCACTTGGTTTCCCCCGTGGATGATTTGGGAAAGATGTTACCAAGTGGAGGCAACTTTGTGCTACCACACTCCTTACACCAGTGTTTCCCAACCCTCCCTTAGCACAGCAATCACTGGCTTCTTGTTAAGAACATATTCCGAGGTCCCACCAAGTAAGCAGGTCTGCAGTGAGACCAGGAGTATGCATTTTTCAAAAGGGCCATCCTGCTACCTCCAAGAACGTCTTAACATTTTCTGTGTTCTTAATGACAGACATTTAAAGGAGTAAAGTGAAGAAGGGCTGGCATTTGTCCATCACAACATAATTTCATTAAAGAACACTAAGAAAATATTCAACAGACTAGAAGAAAAAAGAAATGCTGTACTATGCATAGAAGACATACAGATGGCAAATAAGCATATTCCATACCAACACCATCAGGGACATGCAAGCTAAAACAGGATGCCACTGCACACCTGTCAGGATGGTCAGCACAGAGTCCTGAGGAGGCTGCGGAGCAACAGTAACTCTCATTGTTGGCAGCAAAGAAAATAGGAAGGCCACTTTGGGAGACAGTTTGGCAGTTTCTCACAAAACCAAACATACTCTTTTATGATCTAGCTATCCCACTTCTTGGTGTTTATCCAAAGCAATTGAAAACTTATGTCCATGCTTAAACCTGTACATAGCTGTTTATAGCAGCTTTATTAATAAATGCCAAAAACAGCAGACAGTACTGTGCCAGACAATGGAATATTTTTCAGCACACAACAGAGAAGTGTGCTATCAAGCCATGAAAAGTCATGAAGGAATATTGACTGCATTTGACTAAGTGGGGGGGGGAAAAGTGTGAAGAGGCTGCATACTGATTCCAACCACGTGACATTCTGAAAGGCAAAACCTGTTGAGATGATGAAAAGATCAGTGGTTGTCAGGGGCTCTGGGGAGAGGGTGAGAGGGTGCAGCCCAGGTGACTTTTAGGGCAGTGAAAATACTCTGTATACTATCATTATGGATACATGTTACTATACATTTGTCCATGTCCATGTGTAATGCTAAGCATGAGTAATGTCAAGGTAGGCTGGTCAGTTGTAGGAAATGTACCACTCTTGCCCTGACTGGTATAGCTCAGTGGGTTGGGTATCATCCTGCAAAGTGAAAGGTCACCAGTTCAAGGCACATGCCTGAGTTGTGGACCTGGTCCCGGGTTGGGGGCAACTGATTGTTTCTCTCCCTCTCTCCCTTCCTTCCCCTCCTCTCTAAAAATAAATAAACCCGATCTTTAAAAAACTGTACCACTCTGATGGGAGATGTTGATATGGGGGAAGCTGTACAATGTGTGGGGACAGGGAGAGATGGGAAATGTTACCTTAATTTTGCTATGAACCTAAAACTGCTCTAAAAAGTTTGTCTTAAAAAAAAAAAAAACAACACACAGAATACCTACCTACATTTAAGGGTTGTCTCTATGTAAGATTAGTGAAAAGTGACTGAGTGGTACTGTAAGATGCAGAAACCAGAGCCTGAGAATGCCACTTGAAGTAGACTAGGACATTTCAAGTTCAAAGCTGTGTTTTATGCATGTTTCCCAAGTCTAGTACTGTGGGAACTTAGTAGTTAAAGGACGTGTGGATATGTGGGTGGTTGAATGAAAATAAAAACTGATGTAACTTTGTGGCTCAGTGGCTGAGATCAAGTAAGTTTCTCGATGGGGTCATTGTTAACTTTGAGTACACTGGAGGAATAGATTTTGAGGGAAATCTATAAAGAAAAGTTGAAGTCTCTTGTCTTGGCCAGCTGGCCCAGTTGGTTGGAGCATCATCCCGCACACCAAAAGGTTGCCAGTTTGATCCCCAGTCAGGGCACATGCGGAGGTTTAAGGTTCAATCCCAGGTCGGGATGCGTATGAGAGGCAATTCGATGTTTCTCACATCAATGTTTTCTCTCCCCTCCTCTCTCTAAAATCAACAAATATATCATTGGGTGAGAGTTAAAAAAAAACAAAACAGTAGTGTCTAATTTATATTATCAATTAATGTCTTTTGAGAAGCTAAGAGACAATTTAGGTGAGTTAAAATTATAACCTATGCCCTGATAACTTCCTGTAACTCCAGGTATAGTAAATGAGTTATACAAATGGGTATTAATCCTTTTAAAACACCATGGACTAAGACATAGAATCTGGGGTTAAATATAACCACCTAAATAATTTGCCCCTTTCTCTCTTTTGGATCATTATATTATGATCCAAGGATGAATGAGAACTTATGGCTCATTAAGTCCTAACTGGGAATCTTGGTGGTATGACACTAATTATAGACGGGGAAATAGTACAATGTCAAGAAAAAAGTGTAAGTAGTTCAGAATCTTCAATATTTAACTAAATGACCAAAAAAATGTTTTTGATATCTTAAACCCTTAAACACACCCATGACTGAAAAACAGCAATTTCTTTGAGACTTCCGAATGTCTCAAGGAGACTATAAAATGCAATGTTACCTCCATTAAATGTTGGTTTGTCCAAAAAGTTCATGTATATTTTTTTCTATAAAATAAAGGACACATTTTTCATGTTCACCAATAACTTTATTGATTTGGATACTCTGAGCATGTCAGCTGTCTCCCACTATTGGCTTCTAGTGAGTAGAGGACAGGGGTGCTGCTAAACATCTTCCAATGCCTAGGACAGCCCCACAGCAGAGAATTATTTGGCCAAAATGTCGAGTACCAAGAAACTTCGCAAACCACATTCCATCAGTCACAGCACCTTCTCCGTACACTGCATGTATCTTTTTTTGCTTCCCAGTTTTTACCTTTCTTGAAATGAGAGAATACACTGAACATGTTGTGTATTTTCTTCCACCTTCAGTATTAAAATGGTTGCAAAAAAATTCAATTTTGTTTTTTTTTAAATGTATGCTGATATGACAGCCGTCACAGTACAATCTAACAAAATTGTTTGAAAGACAACTAAGCACTACTAGACCCCATAGTACAGGAAAAAACATAATGGACAGTCTGGCCAACCCAACACTCAACCTGTCTTAAATACATTCAAGGCATTTAAAGATACTAAAATTTTGATGCACACTAGTTCCCCCAAAACAAATTAACTAAATTTCAAATATTTCTTCAAAACAAAAATGTGGCAAATTTTTCGTACCAGCTCTGGGCTTGTCTGCTAAATCTCAATAGTATGGAGGATGGATCCAGAAATCAGCGCAGATGCAATCAAACACTGGCCACATACCCAACCTCTTCTCTGAACACAAAAGAATTAATATATTGTGCAGATTTCCCGTATCCCTATTGGCTGCTGCTGGGTAAGGTGTCCTTAAAACTTAAGCCTTGGAAATCGAGCACCACAATTTGAACTTTTTTATTTGCAATCCTTTCCAGAGAACCTAGTTTCTATGGAAAATGCTGAAGAATTAAGCTAACCCCCTACAACACATTATATATTCACTTTTAAAAGCCCATAAGAACAGAGGAATTAAAAATTTTGTATATTATAGGGTTTCACGACTTAAAGTTAACATTAGTTTTGTTTGTCCTGCTACCAAGCAACAAGTCTCTCGACTTGCATTGCCGACCACCGTAAAGCTTTATTCCTTGTCATTGTTTCTGAACCAAGTGACCTTTGGAAGCATGTCTCACGCTGGCCTTCCTGTACTAGTGAGCCCATTACTTCCTACTAGAGATATGTACCCCAACTCAAAGGCTGTGTACCTGAGAAATCCTTTACTGCCTCAGTATATGTTCAACAACCCAAATGTAACAGTCTACACTTCCATGTTTTCTATCATAGAGGTGCCAAATCTAAATCTATACAGGATGAGGAGTAATCTGGAGGAAGAGTGGAAGGCTTAAGGAAGTTTTTTCTTGCTTCCAGCAGGCAGGATTCAATTTGGTGTCTCTACAAATGACACCATGTTGATTTTCCTCACCAAATGTGCGCCCTCAGTGGTTTATAACCTGGGCCGACCACCACCTTTCTAAGACCCATCAAGATAAAGCAGCTCAGCATGATGGGCCACAGAACTGGAATTTTCTGTAAATTCCACAGTTGATTTGCATGCAGTAAGCCCATCACTGGCTTGAGGACAAGCTGTGGAAATGTTTGCACAAACTGCTGCTCTGCAGCCAGATAAGGACAAAGGTCACATCATAGGCATTCAAGTAAAACAAACAAGATACATAATGGTTTACTCAGTAGCAAATGTTACACTTTAATAGAAGCACTGTTATTTTCTACCGTATTGGCAAATACACAGAAGAGCAATTTAAAACATGGATTCAAACTACTGTTTCTTACACCCACGACGAACACACATCGGAATCACTTGTGAGGGTTTTAAACACATTTAAGTTGAGGCCTCACTTGTGAGAAAGTTGTGACAGGACCTGGTATTTCCCCAAAGCTTCCCAGGCAGCCCTGATGTTTCCTCCTGGTTCAGTCATGACTTTAGGCTGACAGGAGCACTTTGGGTTTTTTGGGCCACTGTTTGGGGGTGTGGGTAGCTTTCCTCGCAGATTTATTAGCTGTAGTGAAGAACTTGGCCTCTGGCTTTTTGGGTGTCTGTCTTGGGTCTTTTTTCCCCAACTGAGAGTTTCTCTCCTTCTCCACCTCTTCTTTGATTCTTGGCTTCTTCCCTGGGTTTTTACCTGGACCCTTGGGCTCTGCTGCTTTTAGGGTCTCCAAAACTGCAATGGACTTTCTCTTCTTTCCACGGGTAGTGCTGGGACCAAGACCCTTTTTTGGAGACTTCTTTCCTGTGGCATGTTTTTGTATCTAAGTAAAAGAATAAAGTTAGGTCAGGAGAAAAAAGGAAACCAATGAATGGACAACATAACTCCACGAATCACTGTTTGATTATTTAGGTAACTCCCCGAAGGTACACCTCGGCACGATGAAATGAGCAATGGTTTCTCTTTGTGTCATGCAGACATTTTGAAAGACAGCTGTAGTCCATCATTCACGATTACAAAGAGGGCCCTGGTGGTCCTCCTGGTCCAATCAAAGGACAATCATCTTCCCCAATGGCTGAGGGTAGGGCCTCCTGGAAGCAGCCACTGGGAGCACAGTAGGAAGACCTGTAACCTAACTCTGACTCTTATCTTCTTCAGCTGTAAATTCCCTACAGGTGGGGTAAGGCATGGGGTTCCCAAACTGTGTATAAAATCCAACTGAGCGGCCTTTTATAAAAACCCACTTCCTAAAGTTTTATTTGGAGTTCTCTGATGAATGTGTTACACACCAGGAATCCTGAATTTTTTTCAAGCACTCCAGATGACTAGTATGATGATTCAAGAACAACATTCTAGCAATGGACTCTGTCCAATATAGTAGGTTATGCACACCAAAATAACCTAACCACCAAACAAACAAAACTTTGTTTCCAATAAATTATGGAGAATGTGAAAAACATCAAAAATATTAAAAACAAAACTTGCTAATAACTTTACCCCATAATAGTAACAATTCTCACTCTCTCCCATGAGTATGTATCTAAAAGCTAAATATTATGCCTTTTCCCCAACTATTTCATTACTATTTCCTAAGCACTATAAACTCTTACTAAACATTATTTCTAGTAACTTTACAGAAACTACCATAAGGCTAGTTTGCTACTACCCTTGAAAATTGTTTTCATTTTTTGCCTTTACAGTGAACAATGATGAGACTTCAATATATTACCTAAATAGATGGATTCAAAACACTTTACAGCTCTTAACAAACAAGACTGTTAGCTATGCTTTGCACTCTTTCATTTCTAACATGTTACCTGCCAGCCCCATATAAGCAAACAGCTTACTTTTTCTAAAAACAATTATACTGCAAAATTAATATCATGATCACTTATGTTAACTTCAAGGTCATTTAAGAAATTCAGTAGTGCTTTATGGGCACTTTGAAAGGAATGTTTTCACTAAGAGATATAAATTACAGCACCATTGAAGAGTTTAAGGGTCACTGGTAGGAGGAACAGGTCAGGTAATGCTGTGGGCCCAGGATGCCCCAGTGCAGGTCCTCTCTGCACACATGGTGGGTAGGGGAGCCTTCTAGACTCTTAGAGACCTATTTTCCCCCTTGTTTTCAAGGTTTCCCCCAATAGGTGTAAGGATACTATGAGTATAAGTAAAAGCATTATCAAAGGGCCAACATTTAAAAAACTCAGTTCCTTTCAATGACCTTCATTAAACTGATGAAGCCAGATTTCTGTTAAGACCTACTGGGGGATGAGGTGCTTGAAAGATTTCAGAGGCAGGATCCAGGACTCATGTTTCCCTGGTAAGTTTCCTAAGACAAAGTAGGTGGTGAAGTAGGTGGTGATCCAGGACTCATCGCCTTCAGAAACTGAACCTCTGCCCCAACGCCCACCCCACCCTGCTTCTTAAAACCACAGGTCAAGTTTCTCACAATTAGTAATATGGTTAAGTCTTCCTTGACTACAAGGTACACAAAGACTGTGTTTACTATACATGGCTCCACTATTTAAACAAAAGGTCAAGTAATTGATGGTAACTATCTTCTGGGTTCTTAGGGTTTGCCCTGGTATTTTTCTCTTTTACTTCAAAATCTTTGGTGGACCAGGTTTCCCTCCAAATACAATTCCACAAACAGTGCCTCCCACCTGTGTTGCACTTCTTCCATCAACACTCAGCAGTGACTGCCTGACACATAGTGGTCACTGAATCAATTTACTGGAAATATTAAATATCAGTAAACATACTTCTATGTTTTCTTTGGTGGGAGTTTCTCCTATTGGAACCAGCAATGGAATTTCTTCTTCAGATTCGTCTTGCACTTTTGGGGGGGCTTTTACTCTGCAGGGCTCTTTCTTCTCAGGCTTCGGGGTCTCTTTCTTCTGGGGTCCGGGGTCCTTTACTGGAAGACCACTAGTTTTAGCGGCCACCACCTCTGTGGTTGGGGCTGATGTAGCCTTGCTAGCCTGTTTCATTAGCTTTTTGTTTCTTTTCTTCTCCTTTCGTTTTTCATTATGTTCTTTTCGCTTTTGTATTTTCTTTTCTTCCTACCAAAAACCAAACATAATTTTAGTAGGAGATACTTTAGTTGGAAAATAAACAACAGAGATTTAGCACCTACGGTTCTGATTACTCATAAGCTCCCTGAAAGGGCCTTGACCGGTAAGTACAAGCTCTAATAAAGCAAATCCCATTATCAGTACTTGAACCCCATCCCCACTGTGTTTCTGAGTCATGGCCACTGATGCACTTTATGTGGTAAATTACATATCAGTACTCAAAATCTGGGTATCTGAAGTACACAGTCGCAGGGTTTGTGAAAGTCAACCTCATTATAGATGAGTTAAGAATTATCCTAGATTGCATAGTATATGATGATGTGATTATATCTTAAGCTGTTACTGAAAAAAATGCCAAAAAAACCAAAAAACCCTGACCAATCTTTTTCTACTTTAAGTTGTGGTTGCAATTTAAAACAGTAAAAAATTCCAGAGGTCCATAATCCTTACCACAGAGTACTGTTAAATAACATCAATTGTAGCGTCCAAATTCCACTTTAAACAGCAAATTCCTACATCTTTGCAAAGCCCTCTACTGAACCTGCTGACGGATGGCAAAAATCCTGACTTCCTGCTTCCTATAATAGCAGTCTATATTATTTCTGTTCATCCTCCAAATAAAAACAAGTAAAAAGGCAAAGTAAAATATTTAAAATTGTTTTCCTTTTTTTTGTAAAAGTACCAAAAAGCTAAAAATATACTGTAAGAAATTAAAAATGGGGACCCCATGGGGTGAGCCCAGAATCCATCTTTGCCCCTTGGAGTATCTCCTGATTACTAACTTTTGCCTTAACAGCCATGTGAGACTAGGGTTGGGGGTCGTATGCAAAGGGAAATCAAATCCCAGCATCCACACTGGACTGGGAGTCTAAGAGGAAAACCCCCCCTCATGGTAAGCTGGGGCCTGTGAGGTCCTCCTTCAAGCCGAAGATGAACAGAAAATCCTGCAGGTTTAGCATCATGCTTTGTTTTGTACTTCAGGAACCCTCAAGCCTTAGATGTGCTTTCAGGTGGTCCAGACGGAGAGTGGTGCCCCCAGGTACCCAGCAGACATACATGTCTTCCCCCAGAGAAGGGATCTTCACCCTACAGCTCAAATTATTTCTACAAATAATTTTCCAAATGCCACAACCATTAGGCAATCAGAGAACCAAATACATAAGGAACCAGCCTTCTACTAGTGGCATCAGCAGACGACTAACGAGTAATGATGCTTACAATTTTAAGAATCAAGACTACTTATAAATAACAGAAAACCAAAAGAAGCCAAGCCAATTTGAAAAAGAACAAAACACGTACCTTCTTGAAGTTAAAAAAAAAACACACACAAAAAAACTAAAGTTAAAAACTCATTGGACACAATTAACATGGATGAAGAAAGAATAAACAAACTAGGAGACTGGTCCAACAAAAAGCAAAAATTCTTTTTATCTCATTCTGACTTTTTCAATAGCACCTGTTAGCAATTAAAACCTACAAACCAAAAACAGGTACCTGTTAGCCTAACAGAATCTCAAATTCTGCCCATAAATAACAAAGAACTTATATTGGATTTGGGTTTTCCTCTCTCTCTTAGCTCCCCTTGCCAATAAATAGACCCTTTCTAAGTCTAATTAGACCTTTTAAGAGAAATTAAAACACCTAACTTATCATATATATCAGATATTTATATCCTGTACTTTATTCACATCAATTATTAACTAAGCTCATATATAAAGAGAGAACAACGAACACAAATGCACAGGCACTGGAAACAACTGCAAGACAAGTCACGCAGGGATGCGAACCTCGCTCTCTCTGGGCAGCATCTACATCCATGGTTACGTCCATCTAGTATTTAAAATGCTACTCACTTTTTTCTTCTGACTAGGAGTGTACACTCCTTTGGCTTCATCCCGACTGCTGACAAATGAAGAAAAAACTGGAAGGGCAACAGATCTCTCAGTTTTCACATACAAAAGTTTCACACTCTCCCACTTCTGAAACAAACAAAAAGAAGAGTAAGATAAACTATGCATGCTTTGCTTCTTTTCATGAACAATCCACCAGTCAATGCATCTACAAGACTATACCTCCGGCAATTTCTGTGAAAGCATTTTCGTCACAGCAACAATGTTTTCGGTGATGTGCTGAGCCTGCATTCCAGTATGACCGATGCGTATAGTGCTGAAATTTAATAAAGTTTCAGACAAACAAGATTTTTAAAAATAATTCTTCAAAATAAGGCACAGGCAGGTATGTTAGAAATATATACAGTCCTAAAAAAAAAAACACAGGTCCACTTGAATCAGCCCACAGCTTTTCTGAGGACAACTACCCCTGGCAGCGACCACTCTCAAAAGGAAAAACTTCCAGAAGGACTGCTTGCTTTGTCTTCAGAGTCCCACTGTCATGACCCAGCTGCCACCTCTAAAACAAGTAGTTCTTCTCCCTCCTAAGAATCGGTCTTCATGCCAAAAGCATGACCATCCCTTCAACTGAAGCAGAGTGCAGACATAAGCCAACTGGGAAGCAGAAGTGCCCGATGTTTAGCCACTGGGTCCACCTTCCCCACCATGGGAGCCAAAAGGCAGGTGTCTCGGAAGCAGGGTGAGACAGGGGCTGGTGGTCCCACCTCCCTCCAGGCAAACAAGGGGCTGTGACCATCCTCTGTGCCCACTGACACCTACATGAAAGCACACCTTTGCTTTGCAGATGGAAAAATAGCAAGAAGGGAGGGGAGGGAATGAGGGAAAGAGGAAGGGGAAGTTGAGGAAGGGGAAGTTAAGGAAGGAGATGGTGGGAAGAAGATAGAAAACTACTGTTAGGAAAAGGCGGGAATGGAGATAAAAGAATGATTTTAGGTTTTCATATTGTTTTTATTAGTTGTCCATAATGTTTCTAATCTGTAGATGTGGCTTGTAAAAACCTCAGGGGCAGAAAACTGCTACTCCTTTATCTAGCTGCATGGTGCTGTCCCCTTCTCCCAGCTACTCACTGATCCCAGGAACCAGGCCTCTGACCGTCTAGCTAACTGCTTCCCATGAGCCATTACTTTGATGTCAGCCTCCAACCAAAGAGTAAGGGTCCAGGCCTGATGAACAACTCTTCTCAGCTACCTAATGACACCCAATTAAGGGACTTCCCATTTGAAGGCAGAAGGCTACACCAGAGCCCACCTGTTTTACCCAAATTCCAGTCAGCCCTACTTGGAAACACTCTGCCAAGGGCTGGCCTCCCTGGTGCGTAGAGTTAAGAAACCTTGGTGATCCTATTTTATGGAATGTGTGACCCTGGGTACACATGGACTCCTGGATATCTTTGAGAGGAAGGACCATACTCTACAGCTCAACCCTACTGGCAGCTGCTCAAACCCACACCACATATGCTCAAATCAGCAGTCTAAATATTTTACAACATGATTTTGAATATGTTTAAAGCAAGATGGAGGTAGATCTTCACATTAAAGAATACGATGCTGGTAACATGAAAGCCCAGAGCCACTGACAGTCTCTAAGCATTGATCTTATTCTCTTTGCTATCCTTAATCTACAGGTACCCTATCCAATATGTTAAGTATTAGCCACTAGGCACATGTGCCTATTCTAATTTAAGTTAATTAAAATCCAACAAAATAAGAAATTTGATTCCTCAGCTGCAGCAGCCACATTTCAAGTGCTCACCAACCATATATGGCTAATGACTCCTGCAGGAGACAGCAGGGACACAAACCATTTCCGTCTCTGTAGAAAGTTCTATGGGACAGCATTGTTCTAGAGAACTGAGTATGTCTAAGGCAAGGGTATCAAATTCACTTTCACCGGGGGCCACATCAGCCTCACAGTTGCCTTCAGAGGGCTGAATGTGTCTGAGGACTGTATAAGTGTAACTACTCCTTAACAGCTAAGTGAAACTCGGTGTTGCCACCGGGCAGAAACCAGGTGACGGCTGGACATAACAAGGTGGAGGGTTGGATTCAGCCCACAGACCTTGTGTTAGCCACCTGTGGTCTAAGGAATGAATTTTAGTTTTGACAGAAGGATCTGGTTTCATTAGCACTATCTTGTAAAAATGCTTATAAAATCATTATTAAATAGATTAAACACAGATACACATTGACTCCTTTTACCAACCTGCAAGAACCACTTTTAGAGATATTTAAGACAGTTCCACCTATAGATGCGTTGATCTCTTTGGAAAGATTCTTGGCTTTAAGGTTTACAGGTACTGGAACTCTGTAACAAGACAGAGGCATTTAGAGCATGATGCGTATACACCTATAAACTGTGTGCTGCTCAAGTCCAGGCACTGCTCAGAAACTTACTTCTTTCTCTTATAAAAATGTCTCCCAAGGTGTGAGGGTAAGAGCCGCCTGATTCTTGCATCAGTAAGGAAGAGGTCGAAACTACCCAGGAGGCGGAGTTTGGCCTCGTAGGCTTTATACTCCTTTTTTAAAGTTCGGAAGGGGATAACCTAGAAAACACAGAACACAAAAAGCTAAGCAAACGAACAACAGCAAAAAGAAATATTTGGGCAACAATTTGTATTCAGATTTTAAAATGTCCTGGAGCCACTGCTTAGTGAACATGTGAGTGCCTGAAATGTGCCAGGCACTACGCTAAATGCGGGGAACATGGAGACAAATGATATGGGAACCTCAGCTAAAGAATCAGTATCAACAATTACAAACCAGGGTGAGAAGTGCCAAGTCAGAAGCAAACACAGGATGCTCTGGAAGTACAGAGGAAATGACATAATGGAGCAACTATGTCAAATCTTCAAGAAAGTTACTGATGTTCACAGTGAGCTTTGGGTCAACAAACCTAGACAACTCAGTCATTATAGGAGAGATGGAATATGCCCTACCTAAAGTCAAGGAGAAATTTAAAATAAAAAAATTAAAATTAATAATTAAATTTCTAGGAGAGATGTACTATGTAGTGTAGCAATGTATTACTTATCACTCTAACTGAATCAAATCTTTTAATTGTCTTGAAAATATTAACCTGTTCCCTACCTGAGAAATGGTTTTAATTCCATGGTTGTTTAAAAGCTTCTTATAAAAACATTCTGTCTTTTCAGGTGTTACATTGGGTTCGTCCTTAGTAAATAAACAAACATCTGCTAAATCTGATCGAATACCATGAGGCAAGGACCTGCAAAATACATGAGAAGGAACTAAGCAATAAAGCATTATTATACACAGAATGTCTGGTTAAACTCCACGGAATACACAAGACGTTTATTGTCATTTCAATAAACTCCATTCACACTACTTAAACTACAGCAAATACTACACTGAGAACACTTAAAAATATATTTGGTTTTCAATGGTATGGAAGAGAGATTTAAGGTCAAGTATGTCATCAAATACCCATAGGGCAAAATATCAATTAATATTTGAAATATAATGAGTCCAAATACAAAGACACCCAAAATAGTTCATACGTAAAACTATTATTTTATGTGTAACCATATGCAGATGTCCTATAACGTGCTAGAATTGATTTTCATCCGGACAATTCTGGTTCAGAACTTGCAAAAAAGCTGTGTTCCATAAACAACACAGCTCTTAAGAGGTGAAAAAGCACACATGGCACAAACCAAGAGGGACCAGAATATATACCGTTATTATTGTGTTAAGATTTTTTTAATTTTCCAATAAAAAAATTTTATTGATTTTTAGAAAGAGAAACACTGGTTTGTTGTTCCACTTATTTATGCATTCATTGGTTGACACTTACATGTGCCCAGACCAAGGACTGAACCCACAACCTTGGCATATCAGGACGATGCTCAAACCAACAGCTACCCAGCTAAGGTATTTGTTGAGTCTTAAAAAAGAGAAGAAATTGATGCACTTACTAGGCCTACATGTTTGAGGAAACAGTTCCTTAGTTTAAGAAGAGAGTGATGCATAGTAGAATTGCCAGATGAGATGGGAAGTGCTATGAAGCTGGTAAGTGGCAGAAATCACTAGGAGGAATGCAGTTGGGAAAATATTCTATAGACAATAAGAGAGCTTTCAGAAGGGAAAACTGCCTTAGTAAAGGTGTGGAATAAAGAATGCAGGAAGGATATAGAAAGCAATAACTGAGGCAATTTGGCTGAGGCAGGTTTGTGAATGTTACTTAATAGAGATTCTGGATATCAACAATTTGTAATCATTCCCACCATCTTTACTGCTTTCTTTGGCAGAGCTGGCTTTCTGATACTTAGGAAATGAGTCTCTGCAAAGAGGCAGTGTTATTAGAATACAGGACGCCCAGTTAAATTTTAAGTATTTTTAAAGTAAAAGTAGATCCCAAATATTACATGGGACCTATTTATACTAAAAAACTACTTTTGTTTTTATTTAAGTCTGGTCATTGCAGAGGGGGCATCTCTGACCTAACAGTTCTGCAATAAAGAATGTGTAATTACTGCCCTGGCTGCTATGGCTCAGTTGGTTGGGGCGTTATCCCATAGCCATAGAGTTGTGGGTTTGATTCCTGGTCCCAGTCAGGGCACTTGCCTAGGTTGTCCCTTCAATCCCCAGCCTGGGTGCATATAGAAGCAGTCAGCTGGTATTTCTCTCTCCCTTTGATGTTTCTCTCTCTCTCTCTCTCTCTTCCTCTTTCTCTAAAAGCAATGAAATAATGTCCTTGGGTGAGGATTAAAAAAAAAAAAAGAAGAAGAATGTGTTAATTCTACTGGCTTCTTTTCCATAAGGAATCTGCTGCCAAGTCTTTAACAGTATAAAGAAAAAAGTCCAGGATATCAGGGACTACCTTGACATGGAAAGATAAGCCAATTCTATGAAAACACAAAAGCTGTTTAACCCATTCTAACCTTTATTCTCTCAAAAACAGGGTTTCAAATTCAATAGAACTGCTTAAAATTGTCCACCAAGCCCCCAGAAAACTGGTGAAATTTCTAGAAAATCTAAGCCCATCTGAATCCCTATTTTTAAAAGATTTTGTTTATTTATTTTTAAAGAGAGAGAGTAAGGGAGGGAAAAAGAGAGGGAGAGAAACATCAATGTGTGGTGGCCTCTCCCATGTGCCCCCACTGGGGACCCAACCTGCACCCAGGCATGAGCCTCGACTGGGAATCGAACCAGAGACTCCCTGGTTGGCAGGCCAACACTCAATCCACTGAGCGACACACCAGCTAGGGCTGAATTCCTATTTTTTTAAGGCACAACTATTTATATCAACTTGTATTTTTATTTTGAGTTCGCAAAGTTTCCACTAGAAACCAAGTTGCAGTTAAAGCTACACAGAATTGACATAACAGATAAAAACAGCAAAGGCAGAAAACCACAACTTACAATCTGACCCTTAGTTCTTTACTTGGAATTTTCCATAATACCACCATTAAAAAGAAATTTTCTTTCTCGTTCAAAAGTAATCCATTCCCGTTTTTCCTGGACCTGGAATGTGCCAACAGAGCTTCCACTGCCTTTCTGATCTGTAAAGTGGAAATACACAAATAAACTAAATCTCAATCTAATTTAGCATTTTCTCTCTTCCCACACCCTTTCCCTTTTTTCTTCTCTTGCTCGAATTCTATTTTAATAGGCAACCTCCGCAACAACAGCTATTAGGACCCTGCAATTTATAAGCACAGGGATGTACGAATCCATCAGATGCCCTAAGATCCCCTTCTAACATCCATCTGAAATAAAGTGCCAGATGGAACATGCTTCTCCTGTTCGTGACGACGGCAGTAAACAGCGGAGACTGCGTAGTAAATGCGCGACACTCTACGACTAGCGTTTACTCTGTGCCAGGCCTTTGGCTACAATCTTTGACGTGCATTACCTCCTCTGATACTGGAAAGCAGAGGATAAGAGAGCCCATTTTATATACTACATAACCGAGGCTTGCAAAATTAAGCGACTTAGTCGTAGTCAAACGGTAGGGAAGGAAAGCCTTGTACGTCTCACCCCAGAGTCCTACGCTATACCTGCAATACAATTCAAGAGAGCCAGGCCGCAGGGCTGGGATAAACGGGCACCTACCCGCGCGACTAAAAGAGTGGGCGGGCTGACAGCACTGTGAACTAGTGACCCTTTCAAAGCTCCGGGGGCATCTAAGGAGGTTCAGAGTCCGCCTAAGGCACCACGAACATCACAAGGCCACCTCATTTCCATAACCCCCTCCCCAAGGGACTCTCACCTGCCCTTTATCCAGCTGTTCCAGTGCGGTTGGGGTCGCTGAGGTCGAGTCTGAGGTTGCGGTTGAGGTGGCGACGGGAGTTGGATCCGAATCCTCCATCTTTCTGCGTCTCACCTCGTGCAAAATCGCGTGCAAGAGCCCACAGCTAACACTTCGTGCGCGTGCTCATGCGCAAGCCCAAGCCACTAGCAGGAAGTTAGGAAGCGTGGTGCGGATTCTTTGCGTCACTTCCGGGCGTCGCTCTATGGAGTTTGGCGGGCCTGAGCAAATTGAGTGTCTTCCCTGAGCTAACACGTCTCCTTCCCTTTTGCTCTGTGTTTCATTGAGTGTTGGGGAGCAGCCTGGCGATTTTGGTTTCTCTCTTTAACAAATGACATCCGGCAAGGGCCTGGAGGCGGTAGAGGAGGCCCGTCCACTCACCCAGTGAGGATCTCTCGTTCTCCGTGGACCCCCGCCTTTGGGCAGGCCGCGAGGGGCGTCGGGAGAGCGGGAAGTTCTGGCCCTACCACGCACCTGCCGAGTGACTTTGGGCAAACCTCTGACGTTGCCCAGGCAGTTTCCTTGAATGCGGAGGTGGCAGGAACCGCCCCACCGCTGGTGGGAATTCTGTGGAATCGGGCACAGGAAACACCAGCTACGTCGTTAAGAGGTATGGGTCGCTGGACGAAGGAGCCAGAGCCAGTAAGAGCTTCGGGTGTCACAGAGGTGGGAGGTAAGAGCATATAAACATAATCGTGCAGGCTGGAATACGGTGTGGAAAGTTTCCCTCCTGTCCCACATCCCCAGAAGTGACCACTGTTAACTGTTTCTTCTGGAACTTTACAGAGTATTCTAGGCATACTTAGTAAATAGTTATTATTCTTTCTCTCTGTGTGTGGATGGGTTTAAATTTAATCTTTTTTCTTTTAAACATAAGTGGTAGCTTAGTATACCCATCGTTCTATACGCTGACTTTTCCTCATAACGTATCTTGGAGGTTGGCCAAGTCAGTATATAATGCTCTGCTTCATCTTTTTAAACTCCGAATGACCTTCCTGTATGTAGATAAGCAATAGTTTTAGTTTTTTGATGGGTCTTTAGGGTGGTTCTAGTCTTTTTGGAACTAGCTGTGGAAATTTTTGAGCGATAAAGAATGAGAACAGTTTTCATGTCAGTGTTCAAAAAACCAAAACCCTTCCTCCATATTACCAAAGCTGGAGGAATGGGTGTTCAGCTGCTGATCTCTAATAACACTTTATCTTTGATCAATTTATAGATGAAAAAATTTTTTAAAGATTTTATTTACTTATCTTTGAAGGGAGGGGGAAGTAGAGGGAGAGAAATGTTGATGCAGGAGAGATATATTGATGGGTTGCCTCTCCGTGCCCTCAACTGGGTACCTGGCGGGCAACCCAGGCATGTACCCTGACTGGGAGTTGGCCTTTCAGGCCCCAGGCCAAAACTCAATCCACTGAGCCACACTAGCCAGGGCAGAGGAAATTTTCTAAACTCTTTGGTACCTACTCTCACTCATCTATTCTAGAATCTAGTATAAGATGGAATTAGTTTTAGCACAAGATTATAAATTGTTATATTAAACTTCACTTATCAATGTTTTCTACTATGTGCAAAGAGCATTAGGGCTGTTAGATGTTTGTCACCTGCATTCAAGTTTGAAAATGAGACTTCTAGGCCAAGGGAATGGTATGCATTCAGGCGCAAGAGTACAGCGGTGTTTGGAAGTGGTAAGAGTGGCTGGATCAGGAATGTGCAGAGGGAGGAGGAATGGGAAATGAGGCTAAAACCAATTAATTAAGGAATTAATTCATTATCAAGCTGAGGGTTTATACTTTGGAGAAATCATAGATACAAGGTTTTTGAACCAGTGTTAGGGAAGAAGAGGTAGTGATGAATTATACTTTAGGAAAGTTAGTATGGGTGTGGTATTATGGTGGTTTAAAAAATGCCACATGCCCACAAATTCTTTGATACTGTAGTAATGGACCTTCATTCTCCACCTGAGTGTGAGCTGGACTTAATGACTTGCTTCTATCAGATAGCATATATTCCAGAAGTTATAGGATTTCACTTCTGAGGTTAGGTTATAAAAAGACTGTAGTTTCTACCCTGAGTATACCTTTCCTTTCACCCTTCTTTCCTATTACTTGCTCTGGGTGAAGGCAGCTACCATGTCTTGAGGCTGCTCAGGCAGCCTGCTAGCAACCACTTGAGTGAGCCTGGACGTAGATCCTCCCCCAGTCAAACCTTGAGATAACTGCAAACTTTTTTTTTTTAAGATTTTATTTATTTTTAGAAAGAGGGTAAGTGAGGGAGAAAGGGAAAGAAACATCCAGTATGAGAAATATTGATCACTTGTGTCTTGCACGCACCCTGACCAGGGACCAAACCTGCAATCCAGGCATGGGCCCAAATGGGAATCAAACCAGCAACCTTTCACTTTGTTGGATGATGTTCAACCAACTGAGCCACATCAGTCAGGACAAGATGACCACAAATTCTTGAAACACTCTGAGCTAGAACCATCTAGCTATGCTGCTTCTAGATTCCTGACCTGTAAAAATTGTGATTATAACTGCAGAATCCACTCAAATTGGCTCTGTCCTATTTCTAACAAGATACTGAGTTGCTTTTCAGAGACAGCAAACCAAAACCACAAGTCATGCAGCAGAAGCATGTTCAGAGGAGACAATTTGACCTCCAGATGTACCCAGAACCAAAGGACTGGGACATGAATGGAACTCGAACACTGGAACCCTTTTAGAAGCAAAGGGTTAGTTGGTTGTCCTAGAAGGATTTGGTGCTGAAGCCCCTTATCATATCTTACCATAAATGGCCATGGTCCAAAGCTCTTCAATCAAAACCTGCCCCACCAGCACTTCTATATACCCGCCTATTCCCCCAACCTCTTAAAACTTGCCCTGGATCAGAATACAGATTTGAGCCTTGTTTCCTGTCTAACCTTGCTGGTTGACTTTGCAATAAAACATTTTATTTTCTCAAAAGCAAATGATGTAGTATTGGCTTTTATGTGCATTGGGCAGAGTCCTTGCTTGGTGAATTGGGAGTAATTTGTTATCCATGCACAGATAATAGAAATTTGTAGACCTCCCATCTTCAAACCCATTAACAGTGTTGATGTAGAAATTAGGGCCTCACACCCAACATGTTCCACCATAAACCCATGATCTTTCCCTCAAACCTACTTCTGTTTTGTCTCAAGTCATTGGCACTGCCAACTGCCTAGTACCCCAAATATGAGTCATTTTTCTTCTCATCCCCCTAATATAGTCTTATTTTAATTATCTCTTGAATCTATCTGATTCTTTTTGTCCCTTCTACCTCATAGTGCAGACCATCATTTTTTCCCCTAATAGTTTCCTGGTTGTCTTTCTACTTCTAGTTGTGCATCTTGTCCATTCTCTGCCCTTGAGCTGGAATGATCTTTGTAAAGTGAAAATCTGATCATATGAAATATGATCATGCTTACACTAATTGCCAGTCAAAATAGACAGTACTTGTAGTTACAATAGAACTGAATGTTAAAGGAAAATAATTATCTTGAGCCAAGTATGTAAATTACTTTTTAAGTATGTACTGTGACATCTTAGGAACAAATCAGGGTAATTAGAGTGTATACTCCTAATGGCCATCATTTATTTTAGATTGGGAGGTATATAGTTCCTTACAAGGCTACAACATACAAGGTATTGATGCTACTTTTCAGAGAACTTGTCTCTGAAACTGGTTCCATGGGCTAAAAAGTATAAAATTCTCTAGTCAGTGCCTATGTATGGTTTGATGCCCAAACACAACATTTAAGGAAGTTCTTTCAACAACACATTGGACAGGGTTGGAGACCTGGTCATTTAACAAAAAAGTGTGGGAAATGTAATGCCATTTAGAACTTTTATGTGAACTACTTTGATAGCAGGCTTGCTCATAAGTTTTGTTTAAGCTAAGATTTATTTAATGCCGAACACCCATAATAGAGACTAACAAAACTTTGAAGTGAAATGATTTTTTAAAGCCCTGGCTGGTGTAGCTCAGTGGATTGAGCATGGGCCTGCAAACCAAAGGACTGCGGTTCGATTCCCAGTCAGGGCACATGCCTGGGTTGCAAGCCAGTTCCCAGGAGGGGCCAGTTCCCAGCAGGGGCCACATGAGAAACAACCATACATTGATAAAAGAAAAAAAAAACTTTGAAGTGATTCCTTTCCCTTGAAGTAATGCAAGAACTCATCCCAACTCTATAGTAAAACATGGTTATATACATCCCTGGCTGGAGTGGCTCAGTAGATTGAGCGCTGGCCTATAAACCGAAAAGTTGCTGGTTTGATTCCCAGTCAGGGCACATGCCTCAGTTGCAGGTCAGGTCCGTGGTTGGGGGCAAGGGAGAGGCAGCCGACTGAGGTATCTCTCACATGTTGATGTTTCTCTCCCTCTCTTCCTCTCTCTCTAAAAAAAGTAAATTTAAAAATTCTTTAAAAGATTACATACAGGAATGTATTCCTGCCAATCTGTTAACCACTGCATATAATGCCTGATTATCATTAATTTTTTACCCTTGTATAGTAAAGGAGGACAAATACTATTTGGTCTCTTAATCGTTTAAAATCCTGAACAATGGAAGCTTGTAGTGTGGCAGAATCACTGATGTTTCCTCAACTTTCTTCACATAAAACTACATACAGTGATATAATTATTTTATTGTTAAGCATCTCTAATTTTGTTATCGGGTTGCTGTTTTGTTAAGATTCAGCCTTATGCACTGTACAGAGATCTTGCACACCATATGCAATCAGACCACATTCATGAATTCCATGTGACAGGGCTTATTAGATCCATCCAACAAGTCTGCTGATAGGTGGTTCCAATTCTTGATAGAAAAATAAAGTATTGTACAGAAAACAGATGGGTACACTCATAGTGTGATACAATACAGGTAATTATAAACAAGACAAATCCTTCAAAAGGGTAGATGATGATTTTTATTACAAAAGCAAGTAGTTTTAAACTTGTTACTTGAGTAACTGCAAGAACAGACTAAGGGCTTAATCCTCACACAGGCACCAAGTCAGGCACAGTAGGTAGCTACAAATCATAAGAAAAAGGTTTCTTTACTTCAGAGTCCCAAAATTCCTACACAGAATATTCTGCCATGTTTTCGGTTCCCTTAAAATAAATAAATAAATG